CGGGTTGGTTTGGTCTCGGGTTGATTTTTTTTAGTTAAAACCAAACCAACCCAAATATAGTCGGGTTTTTTTTTCCAATACCAAACCAATTCAAACCAACCACTAGTCAGGTTTTTTTTCTCGATATGACTCGGTTTGCGGTTTGGTTCGATTTTCGGTTCGATTTTGTACACCCCTATTAATTATATTGATTTTGATACCTGCGTAATTCACTTTCTATGTAGCAACTAAACGACCTCTAATGCTAGTCTTGGTATGACATAAATTAAATTTTACTAATTTACTCTTTAAGATCTTCTTAATTTTGTGGTCATATATTAAAGATATGTTTATTAAAATGTCCTTTAATTTTGTGGTCTTAAACATGTCCTGTAAAAAAACGAAATTAAATAGTTGTAAAAAAGGAAAAGAGATATATTTTTTTTGAAAATATACTAAAACATAAAGTAAGACAAATAAATTAAAACAAATGAAGTAACTACCCACTTGTTTGTAAATTGTCACCTATGGAGTGTCAATTTGTCTAGAGTACACTATTTATATTGACAACTCCTAAAAGCTAACAATCTTGACCCTTTAATAGGTTAGTCTAAATAATTTATTGCTTATAAATTAGTTGTCTTTAATATTCATCTACATATATATAAAGTAGTATAGTAATGTACAAAATATATACACACTACATAATTTCTTGAATATTTCAAACAAATTTGTATCAAACAATATGAGTAGTGTATCAAGACTTGTATCCTCAGTTTGTAAAAAAATAATCAAACCATATTCACCTACTCCAATTTCACTTCGTTGTCACAAACTCTCCTATCTTGATCAAATGATTGGTGGCATTTATATGCCCTTTGCCTTTTTTTACCCTAAATTGAGTAACACATGGTCAAATAAACCAAATAATGTTGTATCTCAACATCTTGAAAAATCCCTTTCAAAAGTTTTGACCAATTATTATCCATTGGCAGGGAAATTGAATGACAATATTTCTGTTGATTGTAATGATAATGGAGTTGAATTCTTCACTACAAAAAATAAATTGTCCAATGTCTGAAATTCTCAATGATCCTTATTTCGATAAACATAATTTAGTCTATCCGAAAGGAGTTCCTAATGCATATTCATACGAGGGTAGTCTTGCAGTATTTCAACTTAGTTACTTTAATTGTGGAGGAATCGCAATCAGTATGTGTTTGTCACATAAGGTTGGGGATGGATACACATTAGTCAACTTCATGAACCATTGGGCTACTATAACGCGTAATAATCCAATGAGTTCAGAAATATATCCAATAAGTCCTAAATTTGATGGATCCTCTTATTTTCCACCTACAAAAGATGAGGACTCATCAAACGTATCCAATAACAATATTGTGCCAGAAAGAGAAGAATGTGTGTCCAAAAGTTTTTCTATCTCATCATCCAAATTAACCGCGCTGAAAACTAGGGTTATTAATCAATCACAAGTAGAGAATCCGACTGATACAGAAGTTGTATCAGCATTCATTTACCAACGCGCAATAGCTACAAAAAAAGTTGTGATTTCATCAGGATCCTCGATATGTCCATCTATACTTCATCAGGCTGTAAGCTTACGGCCACCATTGCCCAAAAACACAATGGGAAACAATTTTTCTCTATTTTCTATACTAACAAAAGAAGAGAAAGAAATGGATTTAGCACAAGTTGTTAGTAAACTAAGAAAGGAGAAAAAAGAAGTTAAACAAAAATACAAACATGCTAAAATAGAAGAACTTCTCCCTATAACACTTGAACAATATAGAAAAGCAAATGATTTGTTAGTCAACAATTCATGTTATGATCTTTATAGATTTAGTAGCCTCATCAAGTTCCCATTATATGATGTAGACTTTGGATGGGGAAAGCCTAAAGAAGTTATTTCACCAAATTCAACAAGTAATGCACCAATTAAAAACATATTTTTTTTGATGGATAGTAAAAATAGGGATGGAGTGGATGTAATATGTAGCATGAAGGAACAAGACATGTTAGCATTTGAGAGGGATGAAGAGCTCCTACAATTTGCTTCTCCAAGTAGCTAAATCAATGTTTTTTTAGCGAGCTTGTTTCACACCTTTAACTATTTACCTGAATCATCATCATCTATGCAATACAACACTCTTCGAAATTGACTAAGCCCAACTATATCACTACTTGTTCTGTTTTCCTATACCTGACTTAATTATATCATCATCTACTCAGTAATTTGTTTTAATACATAGATGATGATGATTCAGGTAGGAAAATGGAACAAATTAATAGTTGAGGTGTGAAACTCGAGGAAAAGTAACAGTTTTAACTTCCAAGTCTGTTTTTACCCTTATCTCAATCTTTTTATAAATTGAGCTTGCTAATATCAATCTTTTCCTCCATTGATCTCAGTTTACATAATAAAAGTATCATCCTAGCTTTAATATAATTTATGCAATCAATCTTTTTGTTGTATTGGTTTCAATTCACATAATAGTGATAAAGAAAATATTATTCCAATGTTCCATTTATCCTAACAACAGTTCTTGTTTTCTCTTTCAATTGGCAGCTTGTTTGCTATTTTTTCGTTGCGCTTGTATCCCGTTGAATATTAATAAGTTATGTCATATCAGAAATTATGATTGAGTTGCAAAATATTTCCCTTTAGATTAAACATAAAAATATAGAAGCACAAAAAAGTTGATGGATATGAGCAAATTTTCGAATTGATGAATTTGATTACAGTCTAGCATCCTACAAGGCGTGTGTTGCCATATACAATCAAATTACTATTTGACACGAATTCAAAATTTAAATTATATGATATATACTTAAATAATCAGCTCGTATAAACGATACGTTTACAATAATTTAGGATAACAAAAGAAAACAAATCATTAAGAAAATTATATTCTCTAAGTATGGTTTCTCATGACAAATACACTATAGTCTAAAGTACACTTAAATAATTTATCAAGGTAGAATGGTTGAGGTAGGAAAAAAATTCCAACCAAGAGACAAGACACAAAAAAAATGTTCAATTTTTTATATAAATAAAAGATTGCCATTAATTATTGAATCACAAAATCGTAGTAAAAGAATCATAATACATGCCGTTTAAATAAAATTAATCTAATGCTTCACTATACATGAAGAGAAGTAAGTTATTTTCTCATCTATTCAAAGCATAATGTTTCCCCTCTTTGTTACATATTTATATTTATCTCACTTGAAGCTTAATAAGACTTATGAGCTTCCTAATTAAAGTCTAAAGAGTGTAACTATTTTTTTCTTACAATGCAAAACACAAAACTGGATTAAAAGTTTTAACTGATATTGTTAATTTAAAATATTAATCAATTGTTGCCTACCTCCGCAATTTATCATTTTTTTAGTAGTGGAGAATGTGAGTGGAAGAGTAATGTTAATTGATTAAAAGACTTGAACCGCAACAATTAAAGATAAAAATAATTTTCATTAAAACTAAGAGTTTACAAAACTAAACCGTAAAAAAAGATAATGGGCCAAAGATCTGTCACATTATTAGACCATAGTCCATAATTGTAATAGAGAAAATTACGCGGTTAAGCAAACGTATACTACTTAATTACTCATCATAGCTATAGTTTGCTATAATTACCACTCGCGACTAACATTATACGTTAATTACGTGGGCTGACTTTGAGTTTGTATAATTAGCCATGTTTGTATATATGTATAATTGGCTAGAATATACAAATAAATATGTATAATGTACAATTATCTAACCGATATACATATACAATTATCTAACCGATATACATATACAATTATCTAACCGATATACATATACAATTATCTAACCGATATACATATACAATTATCTAACCGATATACATATACAATTATCTAACCGATATACATATACAATTATCTAACCGATATACATATACAATTATCTAACCGATATACATATACAATTATCTAACCGATATACATATACAATTATCTAACCGATATACATATACAATTAACCTCTCTCCCACTCTCTGCCATCTCTCGCTCGCCTCTA